AGCGAGACCTGCCGAGACACGTATGGGTTCGGGGAAAGGATCCCCCGAATATTGGGTAGCTGTTGTTAAACCGGGTCGAATACTTTATGAAATGGGTGGAGTAACAGAACATATAGCTAGAAGGGCTATTTCAATAGCAGCATCCAAAATGCCTATACGGACTCAATTCATTATTTCGAGATAAAGGATAAATAAAGTAGAACCAATAGAAATGAGTCTTGGAAAATTGCAATTTTTTTATTTTAGACAAAGAATATTTCTTTTTTTCTTCGTCCTTTGCATTGAAAGAACAGATTTCAAAATGATATGATTCAACCTCAAACCCATTTAAATGTAGCAGATAACAGCGGGGCTCGAGAATTGATGTGTATTCGAATCATAGGAGCTAGCAATCGTCGATATGCTCATATTGGTGATGTTATTGTTGCTGTGATCAAAGAAGCAGTACCAAATATGCCCCTAGAAAGGTCAGAAGTCGTCAGAGCTGTAATTGTGCGTACCTGTAAAGAACTCAAACGTGACAATGGTATGATAATACGATATGATGACAACGCTGCAGTTGTTATTGACCAAGAAGGAAATCCAAAAGGAACTCGAATTTTTGGCGCGATCGCCCGGGAGTTGAGACAATTAAATTTTACTAAAATAGTCTCATTAGCTCCCGAGGTATTATAAGATCGTGATATGTTTAAAGCGGGGTATTTGAAAGAAATAGATTAAGAAATAGATTGTATCTCACGTATATACCTTTATTAATTACTCATAAACAAACAAATTAAGTAAAAAAAAAGAAAAGCATGTTGATTATATCAAATTTTGAGTCACTAACAATTATAGTTAATCATGGGTAGGGACACTGTTGCTGAGATAATAACCTCTATACGAAATGCTGATATGGATAAAAAAAGAGTGGTTCGAATAACATCTACTAATATTACCGAAAATATCGTTAAAATACTTTTACGAGAAGGTTTTATCGAAAATGCGAGAAAACATCGAGAAAACAACAAATATTTTTTGGTTTTAACGCTGCGACATAGAAGGAACAGGAAAGGGCCCCATAGAAATATTTTTAATTTAAAACGGATCAGTCGACCCGGTCTACGAATTTATGCTAACTCTCAACGAATTCCTCGAATTTTAGGTGGGATGGGGATTGTAATTTTTTCTACTTCTCGAGGAATAATGACAGACCGAGAGGCTCGACTAGAAGGAATCGGTGGAGAAATTTTGTGTTATATATGGTAATCTTTTTAATATACAAATTAGATTCGAAACTTACTATTTTTAATTGTAAAAAAAAAAAGAAAAGGAACGAGTTGTCTAATATTGTTCCTCCTCCATTAGTTGATACTTCAAGGGGGCTTTACCTGGAATGAAAGAACAAAAATGGACTCATGAAGGTTTAATTACCGAATCGCTTCCCAATGGCATGTTCCGGGTTCGTTTAGATAATGAAGATCTGATTCTAGGTTATGTTTCAGGAAAGATCCGACGCAGTTTTATCCGGATACTACCAGGAGATAGAGTCAAAATTGAAGTAAGTCGTTATGATTCAACCAGAGGACGCATAATTTATCGACTCCGCAACAAGGATTCAAAGGATTAAGTGATTTTTTAACTTGAACATTCCTTTCGCGAGAATATGATTCAAGATGCAAAATCTAAAGAAACTTATTTTCTTCCAACCAAGAAGTAGATTCAAATTTAAGATAAGGAATGACAAATATGAAAATAAGAGCTTCTGTTCGTAAAATTTGTGACAAATGTCGACTAATCCGCAGGCGAGGGCGAATTATAGTAATTTGTTCCAACCCGAGACATAAACAAAGACAGGGATAATCAGACTCGCTAAAGCAAGTGATACATAAATAAGGAATCTTTTTTAACATGAAATGGATATATCCATATATCTCTGACTCATATTTATGAGATGATAAAATATGGCAAAAGCTATACCGAGAGTTGGTTCACGTAAGAACGGACGTATTAGTTCACGTAAGAGTGCGCGTAGAATACCAAAGGGAGTTATTCATGTTCAAGCAAGTTTTCATAATACCATTGTCACTGTTACAGATGTACGGGGTCGAGTGGTTTCTTGGTCCTCCGCCGGTACTTGTGGATTCAGAGGTACGAGAAGAGGGACACCATTTGCTGCTCAAACCGCAGCAGCAAATGCTATTCGTACAGTAGTGGATCAAGGTATGCAACGAGCAGAAGTCATGATAAAAGGTCCCGGCCTCGGGAGAGACGCAGCGCTTCGAGCTATTCGTAGAAGTGGTATAGTATTAACTTTCGTACGAGATGTAACTCCTATGCCACATAATGGCTGTAGACCTCCCAAAAAAAGACGTGTGTAGAAATGTCTATTGAAGAACTTTGAAGAAAAACAAGAGAAATAAATGATTCAATGATCTAATCAAATATTATTACTATGGTTCGAGAGAAAATAACAGTATCTACTCGGACACTAGAGTGGAAGTGTGTTGAATTAAGAACAGACAGTAAACGTCTTTATTATGGGCGTTTTATTCTGTCTCCACTGATGAAAGGTCAAGCCGACACAATAGGCATTGCAATGCGACGAGCTTTGCTTGGAGAAATAGAAGGAACATGTATCACACGTGTAAAATCTGAGAAAGTCGCACATGAATATTCTACCATAGCGGGTATTCAAGAATCGGTACATGAAATCTTAATGAATTTGAAAGAAATTGTATTCAGAAGTAATCTATATGGAACTTGTGATGCATCTATTTGTGTCAGGGGTCCTGGATATGTAACTGCTCAAGATATCGTCTTACCGCCTTATGTAGAAATCGTTGATAATACACAACATATAGCTAGATTGATGGAACCAATCAATTTGTGTATTAGATTAGAAATCGAGAGAAATCGAGGATATCTTATAAAAACGCCACAGAACTTTCAAGATGGAAGTTATCCTATAGATGCTGTATTTATGCCTATTCGAAATGCGAATTATAGTATTCATTCTTATGGGAATGGGAATGAAAAACAAGAGATACTTTTTCTCGAAATATGGACAAACGGAAGTTTAACTCCGAAAGAAGCACTTCATCAAGCCTCCCGCAATTTGATTGATTTATTTATTCCATTTTTACATATGGAAGAACAAAACTCACATTTAGAGAACAATCAACACACGGTTCCTTTAGCTCCTTTTTTCTTTCATGATAAATTGGATAAACTCAGAAAAAACAAAAAAGAAATAGCATTAAAATCGATTTTTATTGACCAATCAGAATTGCCCCCAAGGATCTACAATTGCCTCAAAAGGTCCAATATATATACATTATTGGACCTTTTGAATAATAGTCAAGAAAATCTTATGAAAATTGAACATTTCCACATAGAAGATGTAAAAGAGATATTGGGCATTCTCGAAAAACAGTTGGTAATTTTTTTACCGAAAAAATAAGTTTTAAATCTATTGAATTTCTTTCGTCTTTTTTTTATTTTAGATGAAAATAGGTTTTGAATCGTTAATAAATTCATATATTCTATTTTAGAATATAGAGTCAGAATTGAATATGTGTATCTAGGGAGAATTCACTTTGAAGCGACTATTCCCTAGATACACATATTTCACAATTGAATTAAAAAAGACCCAAAGTTAGGGATTTATCAATAGGTAATGTTGCACCAATACCCAACCAAAGGGCGACTGCGGTACCAATCAAAAAGACAGTTGTCGCTACTGGACGACGAAATGGATTTTGAAATTTATTAACATTCTCTAAAAAGGGTACTGTTAATAATCCCGCAGGTACTGAAACCATTAAAAGAACACCCAACAATTTATTTGGTACTGTACGAAGTATTTGAAATACGGGAAAGAAATACCATTCCGGTAATATTTCCAAAGGAGTTGCAAATGGATCTGCCGGTTCACCAACCATTGATGGTTCTAGAACCGCTAAGCCTACGTTACATGCAATAGTACCTAGAATTACTACTGGAAAAATATATAACAGATCGTTGGGCCATGCGGGCTCTCCATAATAATTATGACCCATACCTTTAGCCAATTTAGCTCTTAATACAGGATCATTCAAGTCAGGCTTTTTTGTTATTGGGATAGGTGAATTTTTATGGATCCATCCCCCGAAGGAACCGGACATGATAATTTTTCATCATCCGGCTCGAGCAAGAATCAAAAGAACCAAACCGGCTAAAGTTTACCTATATCCACACATATATAAAGGGTTCAATGTAAGAAAAATTTTACTGAATTCTTTTTCCGAAGTTGCAAATATCGATTCCAAAGAATTCAGTTCTTACAAGTAAATACTCAATACCCAAGTAGGCTTACAAAATTAATCATGATATGATCAAGTGCTTTCTGGGTCGTCTCAGACCTTACGATTGGTATTTATTCCCCAAATATTTGTAAATACACACAAAAGGTTTACTTGTTACTAATATAGTCTAACCTCTGTTCTCCTTTAGACCCCCTGTTTCACTCCGATAGTATTATGTCATATCAATGCAGAGGAAATGAATGCATTTTCATACTATTAAATCTTAAGTTAAGTAAGTGAAATAGATAAACTATATTTTTTTTTTAGTTTATCTATTTCACTTATTATACTGGATCTTACGGAGCCTGCTCATGTACAACATGATTCGGATCTGATCATAGAAATAATTCTCTTCAAGCGAACCAGCCTATCCTCCCCTCTGTATAAGGCTTACGCGGTGGTTGGAACAAAGACACATTTGATTGTGAATTCCAATTCCAATGTGGCAGGCCTATAACTACACAGACTAATCAACAGTTCAAGTCACACACTCCCATAATCCACTTTCTCTTCAGAGAATTCCCTTCGACCCACAGTCTTATTTATTTGACAGGAATAGTTGAAGGGAGATATCCAAATACATGTCTTATTATTTTCAATAATCCATACTTATAGCAATGAAATACTATATATTCCTCCTCCAAATGATAAATGATTTATTTATTACAAAAATATATGATATATCTTCTCTATAAAGGGCCAGAAATACCTTGTTTACGTATCATTGGAAAGTGCATTAACATAAATACGGCAGTAAGAAGCGGCAATACAAAAGTGTGTAAACTATAAAAACGAGTCAAGGTGGATTGTCCCACACTAGCACTTCCGCGCAATAATTCTACCAAAGGAGATCCTATTACAGGAATAGCTTCAGGTACACCTGTTACAATTTTTACTGCCCAATAACCGATTTGGTCCCGAGGTAAGGAATAACCAGTTACACCAAAAGATGCGGTCAATACAGCCAGAACCACACCTGTAACCCAAGTCAATTCGCGAGGTTTTTTAAATCCACCGGTGAGATACACACGAAATACATGAAGAATCATCATTAGGACCATCATACTTGCTGACCATCGATGAACTGACCGTATTAACCAACCAAAGTTAGCTTCAGTCATTATGTATTGAACAGAAGCAAAAGCCTCAGTAACGGTTGGACGGTAGTAAAAAGTCATAGCAAATCCCGTAGCAACTTGGACTAAAAAACAAGTAAGCGTAATTCCCCCTAAGCAATAAAATATATTGACGTGGGGAGGAACGTATTTACTAGTTATATCATCTGCAATCGCTTGAATCTCGAGACGTTCTTCGAACCAATCATAGACTTTATTGAGATAGGTGGAACCCCCCCTGAGAACCGTATGTGAGACTTTCATCTCGTACAGCTCAAGCAAAAATACCCCAATACTATTTCCAACGGATATGTAATAGAAAGTTTGAAACTTTTTTTGAATCAAAGATTCAATCTTCTCTGAAGGTATGAAAGAAGAAAAACTCGAAAGCTCTTCTTTGTTTGGGGCGATAATACCCAAATCTCAAGTTGGCTCAGTCGTCTTTCTTACGGGCCTCTTGAATCCTCTCCTTTCCTATTTCATTTTTCTATTTATATATAATGTTTATTATTTGTTTTTTTATTGTATTAATAGGAATTCTCTTGTTAAGAACCCTATGAATTGATTTTAAAACCTCAGATTCATACTAGAAACGCGATGATTCAATAAAAAAAACTCTAACTTAAGTCAAAGATTTCCTGAGTAAGAATACTTGGACCATCACTTATTCCACGAATAGATAGAATGATTAAAAACTCAAAGAAATTTTTGTCTTTTTGTCAAAATCGAAATAGAAGAAAAACCTTTCGATTTATATTTATAAAATTGAATTCCTTTTGAAAATTGAAAATTTTTTGAGTCCGGATATGATACGAGGTCTGAACATTAAGTATGAATCATAGTTCAAATATTTCTTAATCTATTCTGTATATTCCGTGTTCCAGATACTAAAATAAATATCCGACGAAGTAGAACCATCTCTATCAAGATGACAGACCCATTCTCTGTAATATCAATAGGATCAATTATAACAAGTCACACACTCATATTCCGGAAATACAGAAACAAAGAAATTTCGCGATCGAACTCCCAAAATAGAATGGGCTCGAAATCCGAGCTCTAAATGATTGATTTTATTTTGGATTCAAAAGCTAGAACTTGGGAGTTCTTATAGCTCTAATTCATTGAAATTCCATCCAATAAAACGGAAGAATTATAAATCTCCAAAATAATAGATAGAAATACCGCAAATAGAGCCATTGCGACACCCATCAAAGGGGTTGTTCCCCACCCCGGAGCTACTTTACCATATTCTGAATTCAATGGTTTTAATAAACTCCCTACAGTAGTTCGTCTTGGACCAGATCTAGAACTGTTATCAACAGTTTGTGTAGCCATAAATCCTATTGTATTCATTGAGATCTGTTGACTTTGTATACCATTCCGTTGTAAATAAACGATCTTATCATAGATCCATTGGGGTCTTGAAATTATATAAATAATAATGGAAACAGCAACCCTAGTAGCCATCTTTATATCTGGTTTACTTGTAAGTTTTACCGGGTACGCCTTATATACCGCTTTTGGGCAACCTTCTCAACAACTAAGAGATCCGTTTGAGGAACATGGGGACTAGTTGAAGTAATGAGCCTCCCAATATTGGGAGGCTCATTACTTCAATTTCAATTGAGATAATGAAAAATCATTTTATCTTTTTAGTTGGAACTTTAGGAGGTTCTCGAAAAAAGATAGCGAAAAAAATTATCCCTAGAGTCGAGACTAAGAGGAATGTATAAACCAGTGCTTCCATAGATTCGATCGCGGTTTACAATTACAATTATAGCTTCCATACCTGTTTGTTTATTTTTTTTTTTGGGGGGGTTCTCTCCCGTATAAAGAAAGAGAAAAAGTAAAAAAGTGGTCAAGATTTCTCGGGTACCTTATGACAAATTCCAAAAAGAAAATCGAGGCAAAAGATACCAAAGCAGTGTTGTATCAGACTGCCTGTCTTCTTGTAGTTGGATCCCCAATTTTTTGGAATGCTCCAAATTCGACTTGAGCATCCAAATCCGGGTCAATACCAGCAAAAACATCTCTGAACAAGGTTCTAGCACCATGCCAAATGTGTCCGAAAAAGAAGAGCAAAGCAAATGAAGCATGTCCAAAAGTAAACCAACCCCTTGGACTGCTACGAAAAACACCATCGGATTTCAAAGTAGCACGATCTAATTCAAAAATTTCACCCAATTGAGCGCGCCTAGCATATTTTTTCACAGTAGCAGGATCGCTATAACTGACTCCATTGAGTTCACCGCCGTAGAATTCAACAGTTACACCTACTTGTTCAACACTATACTTTGATTCTGCCCTTCTAAAAGGAACATCCGCTCTAACAATTCCGTCGCCGTCTACCAAAACGACTGGAAATGTTTCAAAAAAAGTAGGCATACGACGTACAAAAAGTTCCCGCCCTTCTTTATCTCTAAAGATAGGGTGTCCCAACCATCCAATCGCTATTCCATCCCCGTTATCCATCGAACCTGCCCTGAATAATCCCCCTTTTGCCGGATTATTTCCGATGTAATCATAAAAAGCTAATTTTTCAGGAATTTTAGACCAGGCTTCTGATAAACTTTGATTTTCTGCTAGTCCAGCACTAACTCTTCGATATATCTCTTGCTGAAAGTACCCCTGATCCCATTGATAACGAGTGGGCCCAAATAATTCGATCGGAGTAGTTGCTGAACCATACCACATAGTTCCGGCAACAACAAAAGCCGCAAAAAAGACAGCAGCGATACTACTGGAAAGGACGGTTTCAATATTTCCCATACGCAATCCCTTGTATAGGCGTTGTGGTGGGCGGACGCTAAGATGGAATAACCCCGCTAATATGCCCAATGTCCCTGCTGCAATGTGATGAGAGGCTATTCCTCCCGGAACAAAAGGATCAAAACCTTCCACGCCCCATGCCGGATTTACGGGTTGTACTTTGCCCGTTAGTCCATAAGGATCGGACACCCATATTCCAGGACCATATAAGCCTGTTACATGAAATGCACCAAAACCAAAGCAAGCCACTCCTGAAAGAAATAAATGAATTCCAAAGATCTTGGGCAAATCCAAAGAAGGTTTTCCTGTACGTTCATCGCAAAATATTTCTAGATCCCAATATACCCAATGCCAGATGGCTGCCAAAAAGCATAAACCAGAAAACACAATATGTGCCCCCGCTACACCTTCGTAACTCCAAATACCCGCATTCGTTACAGTTCCCCCTGTGATACTCCAACCGCCCCATGAATTGGTAATTCCTAAACGAGTCATAAAGGGTATAACAAACATACCCTGTCTCCACATTGGATCAAGAACAGGATCGGAAGGATCAAAAACTGCTAATTCATATAGAGCCATCGAACCAGCCCAACCAGCAACCAGAGCTGTATGCATTATATGAACAGAAAGCAAGCGGCCGGGATCATTCAATACAACAGTATGAACGCGATACCAAGGCAAACCCATGGAAATACCCCTTTATCAAAGCTAAATAGACACTGCGTAACTTTATTGCATTGGAAAAGACTCTACTATAACTATCCTATGGACCCCCCTGTTCGGTGGATTATTCAGAATAGGGATTAATATTTGTTCTATTCTCTTGGTAATAAAATAATGGAACAATTCTCTTCGTAGGAACAAAGAGAAGCAAATTTATTCTATACTCGATAAGTAACAATACGCAATGGGGGTTGGATTCCATTGTCTATGAGTGAATGTGTACATACTTATTCATCGCCCTATTCATAATAATTTGCAAATTTGACTTTATTCATTCTGTTTTTCTTTATGACTTTTTCTATAACTATAATCTATGGATAAAATAAATACGATAAAAGCCAATATATATTATAAGGACAATAATAATCATATTATTACGTTTCTACATCAAAGTGAAATACAGTACTTTGTTCTTTTTTCTTTCATTTAATGCCTATTGGTGTTCCAAAAGTACCTTTCCGAAGTCCTGGAGAGGAAGATGCATCTTGGGTTGACGTATAGTGCGACTTGTCAGACATATTGGGTCCTATGGGATTTTCCCGTTTTCTCCCCCGATTGAGATATCCTCCGTTTCACCCGAGAAAGATTCATTGAATCAGCAAAAATTTGGAGCGTGAAGTGCAATTAGATCCATTTTGGAGATTAATATTAGTTCGAATAATTTATGGTTGGTTTGGTTGGACTAAATAAAAAAGAAAAAATGAAATATCCAGGCTCCGTTTAGAAAAACCCAATTCGATTGGTAATATATCTATGATTACTAGTTCTGTCATAAATGATTCCGATTTGACTTATTTGTCAAGCGGGTTACTAAATACTTGGTAGAAAGTATGAAAAAAATTGAAAAAAAAAAAAACAGAAAAAAGTCATAACAAAAAGAAATGGTAATGGGGCCTTTGTCCTATATGTGCAAATGAAAATCGGGTGAATCTTTACCCGGAGTAGAGCATAAACCTAAAAAGATGAAAGAGACCCACTCAGTAACAAGAGAATACCATCGTGATTTGGATTGATTTTCGATGAAACAATACATCAATGAGAAGTTAATTAGATGGGTTTAGTGACTTTTTTATTATATTTAGAAATAGTAAAAAAAAGAGTCAAAACTCGTGTTTATTGAAGAAGAAAAAAGCCTTTCGTTAGAAGTCAGAAAGAACCTGTTATGAGAAAAAGGACTGGAATCTATACATTGATTCTTTTTTTTTCGCAATTTTTTTGAACCGTATGCACCAAAAGGTGCATGTACGGTTTCTAAGGAATATACCTGTACCCTAATCAACCGACTTTATCGAGAAAGATTACTTTTTTTAGGTCAAGCAGTTGATAGCGAGATCTCAAATCAACTTATTGGTCTTATGATATATCTCAGTATCGAAGATGATACCAAAGATCTGTATTTGTTTATAAACTCTCCCGGCGGATGGGTAATCCCCGGAGTAGCTATTTATGATACTATGCAATTTGTACGACCAGATGTCCATACAATATGCATGGGGTTAGCCGCTTCAATGGGATCTTTTATCCTGGTTGGGGGAGAAATTACCAAACGTCTAGCATTCCCTCACGCTTGGCGCCAATGAGGTTTTTATTTGAGAGAAATTAAAGAAGACTATGCCTTCGCCCTATGAAATATGAATATTAAGTAATAATAGCATGGCACTTCGAATTCGATACGAGAAAATTTTGCATTGTCAAAAAATTAGATTATGTATCGAAAGGGTGGTATGAGAGAAAGGATATTTCCGATTTTATCTTATTTATCGGGAGTCCACTTCAGCGTCACAAACCTTTTTGTTTTTATTTTGGAAGACTCTTAACAATATTTATGTTATGTAAAGAGAGTGAAAAAAGATTTTTCCTCATTTGATTGCATCAAAAAGAAACTTTGGGATTGCTGAATCACAGACAAAAAAACAATAAAAATTAATATAAATATATAAGGCAACGGAGCCATCATAGTATTTTTTAACTATTTGGAAAGGAAGGGTGGCATTTTGATCAGTTAACCATCTGGGTCTGATATATTCTTCTCTTTCTTCAATGGAAGGGAAGGGTCAATTTTATTGTAGAGCCGTATGCAATGCACAAAAGATAAAAGATGCCCGTACGGTTGTTCAATTCTATCCTTTTCCTATTATTATTTATCTTTCTTTTCTCTTCCGAGATAGAGGAACTTTTTATTATGTTATATCATCAGGGTAATGATCCATCAACCTGCTAGTTCGTTTTATGAGGCACAAGCGGGAGAATTTATCCTGGAAGCGGAAGAACTGCTGAAACTGCGTGAAACCCTCACAAGGGTTTATGTACAAAGAACGGGCAAACCTTTATGGGTTGTATCCGAAGACATGGAAAGAGATGTTTTTATGTCAGCAACAGAAGCACAAGCTTATGGAATTGTTGATCTTGTAGCGGTTGAATGAAAATAACATGGATTTCACGAAAATCCGCGATTTGAGATTTTATCTCTGACTTTAATATTCTATTACATATTTATTAATATAGAAGTAATTCATAATCATCCGGTTAGGATCAATCTAAACCAGTCCATTATGTATACAATTCAACATGCCAACTATTAAACAACTTATTAGAAATGCAAGACAGCCAATAAGAAATGTCACGAAATCCCCCGCCCTTCGGGGATGCCCTCAGCGTCGAGGAACATGTACTCGGGTGTATGTGCGACTCGTTTAGATCATATCATGAGCAGGCACAAAAGTAAAAAAACAACCTCTCCAGTATCAATGATACGTACCGGCGAATATAATATGTAAGAGGGGGACTCCATTTACTATCTAAAAAAATAAGACAATCTATCATATCCCTCCATTGTGTATGAATTTTATGGTTTCCATTGGTGCAAATCCAATAATGATGAGAAGCAATTCTCCATTGGTAACAAACGGTTATCCATTAAGCGGAGAAATTTTTATTTAAAAAGTATAAAAAGTAGGCCTTATTCTGACAAGAACGGACTGAGAGGGTCAGCTACCCAGCTAATTTTCATAAAAAAATACCGTTACGGTATAGGTAGATCTCGTTGTGAAAGACCTATTACTAGATAATTCATGGGTAGAGCCAAGGAGGATGAACTATACAAGTTACCAATAACGTTGATTAAATGAAGTAAAGGCTCCGGTGTATAGAAAAGACCTCACCGTTTACGAAGTCACCATAGAAACGATGGAATCCACTATTTCTTTATCTGCCTATTTACTTTGATTTTTTACACTTATAGCGCAGAATACAATTTCTTATTTTTTTCTTAATTTCGCCTAAAACAAAAAAAAGAAAAAATCGTGGTCGGGAAGGTTATAGCAGCCAAAGCCATTGGAATTTTTACTTTATACATTGGAAAAATTCGTTTTGTTATTAATAGATTAGGAAAGGGCAAAAGAATAACTGAAAGAAAAGAAATCAATTAGTTATTCTTCAAAGTTTCAGCTGTTCAATGACTAGAATTAGACGGGGATATATAGCTCGGAGACGTAGAACAAAAATTCGTTTATTTGCATCAAGCTTTCGGGGGGCCCATTCAAGACTTACGCGAACTATTACTCAACAAAAAATAAAAGCTTTGGTTTCGGCTCATCGAGATCGGGATAGTAAAAAGAGAAATTTTCGTCGTTTGTGGATCATTCGGATAAACGCAATAATTCGTGAAAGAGTAGTAGAATGGGCACTATCCTATAGTTATAGTAGATTAATACACGATCTGTACAAGAGACAGCTGCTTCTTAATCGTAAAATACTTGCACAAATAGCTATATCAAATAGGAATTGTCTTTATATGATTTCCAATGAGTTATATAAATATAAAGAAGTCGAAGAATCCAGTGGAATAATTTAAACAGACTTTCCCGGAGTTCATTCTCCGGGAAAGTAGAGTCGAAATTACTATAAATAAAAAATGCTAAAGTAGTCAAAATCAATGAATGCGTTCAAGAAAAAAAGCTTTCTCCAATTCGTTTTTGTTCTTACGACACGATAATCAAATCTGGATTCTCGGAAAAACACTAATCTGTGTTTGAGTTCGGATTCAAATTATGTTCAAGTCAAAAAAGAGTAAGCCTATTTATTTCTAGTTCTAAGACCAGTAGTTCTAGCAGTCGACTCGGTTCTTTCAAACTGTTTCTCATTATTCAGAAAGGGTAACAAAGATAAAATACGAGCTTGTTTTATAGCAACAGTAATTAATCGTTGTTGTTTCAAGGTCAATCTATTCACCCGTCTGGATAATATTTTTCCTTGTTCACTAATAAATCGACTAATTAAACTCATGTTTCTATAATCAATTAGATCCCCCGATTGAATCGGGGGCAAACGCCTACGAACAGATCGCTTGGATTTAAGAAAAGATCGTTTGGATTTATCCATGGTTTGTTTTAGTTTATTCCTTATCCCGAAAATCCTAGTTCTTAAGTCTAATTCATTTTAACGCTATTCTAAATAGGATTTTTTTCTTTTCTATTTAAATATGTTATATATAATGCCATTTTGTCCCTTTCCTTGAAAGGGTAAGATATAGATACTCAGCTCGATCTATTTCTTTATCTCCCCATGAACCGTATGCTTGTAACAATAGGGACAGAATTTTTTCAATTCTAATCGATTGGGTGTATTGTGCCGGTTCTTTTGAGTAATATATCTGGAAATCCCCGTTGATACCTTATTAACACTGTTTCGAACACAATCGGTACATTCCAAAATCACCGTTACTCGTACGTCTTTACCCTTGGCCATGAACCCCCCTTGGATTTTTTATTTACTCAACTCGTCTATTTTCGATTCGATATTAAGAAGAAAGGAAGGAAAAAAATAGAAGTTACTAACTCGAAATCCAATTATAAAAACTATAGTAAATGAAAGTCATAGTAAATAATAAGGAATATAAAAATTTCTAAACTCTATTTCAAATCGAAGTACAGTATTTTAGTTTTCAGTTAAATCTCTTGTAATACTTTTTCCTTCGACGCGTATTTTCTATTCTTATTCTAAACCCATTTTTCTATTATTAATATTCATTTTAGAATTCGAACTTGAACCCAGGTCTCGCAGATGTTGAATCGAATCCACTTTTATTTTTTCTCTTTCCTCCCTTATTCTAAAAAGGGAAAAAAGAGAAAAGAGGAGAAGAGGGGTTAGTCACAGATATTTGATTGTATCTTTAATCTTCTTCATCCCTTCCCATGTCAATAACTAGAATGAAAAAAAGGGGAAGGTCAACGCATCCGGAAAAAAACGATTAATCTCTATCAATAGACCTGCCAAAGCCCCGAACCATAGTGTACTTAGTACTGGTGCCACGGAGAGATATGTTTTAAAATCTCGCATTGAAAACCCTCCCTTGTTTATTTATTGTAATACAGATAATGCATATATGATCAGAGGCATATGTAGTTAAGGACCGGTTATAATTGTACACATAGTCTTTAAGTTAAATTGAGTTATACAATGATCCGGTAAATAAGATTTTACCCTTTCTTAGAATCTTAAATTAAAACCAAAAAAACCTCTTACTAAGCATTTCCGAAAAATACTCATTTATTTTTATTATATATAATAAATATTATTATGTTAAACATATCTTAAATGAGACCAAAAAGACGAAATGGGCAGAAAATTGTGTAGATCAATCGACGAAATAATGATGTGGAAAACAAAACAGTAATTTTATACAATGAGACTGTAGAATAATGGAAGGGATGTGGCGCAGCTTGGTAGCGCGTTTGTTTTGGGTACAAAATGTCACGGGTTCAAATCCTGTCATCCCTACCTATTACTGCTCCTTTCAGCAGTAACGAGGGATCGACTGAGATCGATTCGAATTGGATATAATCTTTCATTTTTGTGTTTATGATACTATCCATACAAAAAGTATTGGGGTTATAAAAAAATCCTTTTCTTTACAGCCTTGTCTGTTCGGATAAAAAAGCGCTCTTAGTTCAGTTCGGTAGAACGTGGGTCTCCAAAACCCGATGTCGTAGGTTCAAATCCTACAGAGCGTGGTTTTTTTATTCTTAGATCTGAACTAGATTCAGTAACAACTTGGACATCAATTAGGAATTTGACCCCCTATGGATTAAATAAAAGGAAAGGAGGAGGTCAATCAAAAAAAGATATATTAATTAATCAAAGGTCCAACTGATCACCACGCCTGTATTGTAAATATGCAGTTACGAATAATCCAGCCAAAGTAATAGGAATTAGACCTAACACGATTCCAAATAGAAAAACTTCAATCATTTCAATTTATTTGAAAGAAAAAAAAAAGAAGTAATATCTATACCTAAATATTAATCCGAATTGACATGAATCTCAATGATTGGGAATTGACAATTGAGGCAGTAAGTGTAACTATAGAATGTGCAAAATTGGTTTCTTTTTATGAATCGTTCATTTCAAATATTAATTTTAAATAAGTCGTATTTTGTTCAAACCAATAAATAGAGCTGAGGTTATAGTTAAAGCTGCTAGTAGAAAACCAAAATAACTTGTTATAGTAAGCATGAAGGGGCTAAATGAAATTTGTTTTTTATACATATGTTTATAAAGCACTTACCTAAGTTTCAATTTTTGCCAATAGGATACACAAAAATATCAATTGAAAGAATAAGTTCAATTGAAAATTTGTTATTCATCTATCATTATATACGGCGCTAATAAAGATAAAGTATAAAGTAAGAGGTATATAAAATCGATTTATCGTCTGTAACATCTACCTATTCTGCGATTTCAACCAACCCACTCATTGAGTAACTCTTAGGTAAACTAATAAAAAGAACCGGCTCATGTAACTTCATTCAAAAATGAAACTCTTTTTGAATTATTATGGAATAAAATTCGAAAATTATTTCTATTTTGATCATTTCTTCTATTTTTAAATTTATCGAATCTATTCTTGATTTTAGAGCAAAGAATAAGCATATAAACTAAACCTTTTGACTTTGCTTTAAGTTTAACTCATTAGATTTGGTAATAGGTTCATTCACATAATATCTTGAACAACTGAGAATAAAAATGTTATTACCGAATCACTCAAAAAAAGATTTTTTTGATTCAACTAAGTTTTAAAACTAATCATTTTTATTTTTTTTATAAGTTCCACATTTTATCTTTCCATATTCTAAAGCATCATCCTTGTAACTAAATCCTTCGACTTTGATCGAATATAAGAAAGCATTACAATTCTTTCTCTAAAATCAAAAATTCCTTCTACAACTACGAAAAGGGAATTTTTAGATCTCACATCTACTTACAAAAAAAATAAAAGTGTGGGAATATAATAATCTCTTTCATTGGAAGAATTTTCTATTGAATGAGGCATCATTTTACATCAACTAAAGAAAAAGTAAAGCAAAAACAAAAAAGAAATTATTTAACACTTCCTTTCGATACTGATTAAAATTGCGTTGCTGTGTCAGAAGAAGGATAGTTATACTGATTCGGTATACTCTAAAGACGCCTTCGGTACAATATTGATGATCTCACAAAAAATTTGCAGTGAATTGACATTTACTGATCTCATTTTTTACGGAATCGATCCCCTTTGACTGTACAAGAATATGTGGAGCTCAGCATGTCTGGAAGCACAGGAGAACGTTCTTTTGCTGATATTATTACCAGTATTCGATACTGGGTCATTCATAGCATTACAATACCTTCCCTATTCATTGCTGGTTGGCTATTCGTCAGCACCGGTTTAGCTTATGATGTGTTTGGAAGCCCTCGGCCAAACGAGTATTTCACAGAAAGCCGGCAGGGAATTCCATTAATAACTGGCCGTTTTGATCCTTTGGAACAACTTGATGAATTTAGTAGATCTTTTTAGGAGGCCCTAATGACTATAGATCGAACCTATCCAATTTTTACAGTACGATGGTTGGCTGTTCACGGCCTAGCTGTACCTACCGTCTTTTTTTTAGGATCAATTTCAGCAATGCAGTTCATCCAACGATAAAACTACATCCGAATTATAGAGCTATGACACAATCAAACCCGAACGAACAAAATGTTGAATTGAATCGTACCAGTCTATACTGGGGGTTATTACTCATTTTTGTACTTGCTGTTTTATTTTCCAATTATTTCTTCAATTAAGAAAAGGAAAGAGAATAAATAATCATTATAGGCATTCTCTTAACGCATTCGGAAGGATCTCATCTCATAATTATCCATGACTGTTTATGTCTCTAGCACGAACACTTGATGAAATGTGGAGGGAAGTGGGTTAAATGGCCGATACTACTGGAAGAATTCCTCTTTGGATAGTAGGTACTGTAACTGGTATTCTTGTGATCGGTTTAATAGGTGTTTTCTTTTATGGTTCATATTCCGGATTGGGTTCATCCCTGTAGTAATCGAATGAATTAAGTTGTAGACATGAAAGCGTAAGAACTTGGCGGGATTCCCTTCTTTCTTTGGCTGATTCGAAGGGGGAGGACCCGTTGAGTTCTTAAGAATCATACTTTTTTTCGTCTAAATGACAAAATAGATTTCCCTTTCTGCTGTTTCAAAAAACTTCATTTCTTTTTTTTTTTCTGATGATGTTTTTGAAAAATGAACTTCATTAAGTGATTCAGAACACTCGCCCCTTGGCAGTATCTATCGGTACTTTCATTTCAAAGTTAGAAGAAAGAAGGAATCACTCAATTTCTTGGATGATAGAATATATATTTTTGTAGATTAGATATTTGCAAATACTTTCTATACTAATAGAACTTTATTCTATTTATTTTAATATCTCATCCAATTTGAAAATTTTTATAAAAAGTTCTATTTAATCAATAAAACCCCTCTTGTTTTTTTATTTATACATCTGGAAAAATTGAAAGTAAGACTAGAAATCTTTGAAGAACAGGATCAAGAATCGTTACTCTTTTGACACAAAAAAGGGTTTAGAAAATTCCCTTTCTTGTGTCGAAGACTAGGAAGACGAATAATCTCTTCTAGAAGAGATTCTTTGTTTCCCATATATCCCTTCTATTACCCGATTACTTCTGTCAGGTATCTAATCCAATTGGATTCTATTTAGAATCTAAAACTATTGATCCATTTTATAACATTGAAATCGGGCAATAGTAACATAGCCCCATCGCCCCAATTTGACTAAAAAAATAAAGAAATAGGGTGAAAGTCAAATAGGATTCTTCAAAATCTACATACGATGACTAGCAATGCGGTAAAAGAAATTCCCAGCATCTCGTAGAAAAAGTATAAACAAGCAACCGCAAGTCTAGAAATTCATTTCGGCCAATTGAACCTTCTCGAACTGTTTCTTTTTAAGAACCAAAAAGATTTGTGCCAAAATAACAGATGCCAAGAAGAACAAAAGGCCTTGGACACGTAATGGATCTTGAAGTACTATTTCTGCATCTCCCTGACCAAATCCGCCCACATTGGGGTTACTCGTTAATGGTTGATCCAATTTGATGTATTCGCCCTCTGAAACAAGAAGTTCTGGTCCTGGGGGGATAATATCAACCACTTGACGTCCATCCGTATCTGTTATGGTTATTTCATATCCCCCTTTTTCTTTTCGTATAATTTTGCTTACTATACCTGCTCCTGTAGCATTATAAACTGTATTGTTACTCTTGCTCCCGTCGGGATAAATCTGACCCCTTCCCCTGTTCCCGCCTACGTATATAGGATATTTTAAGAAGTGAACATCCTTCTTAGTAGCGGGGTCGGGGGAAAGAATAGGAAAGGTTATTTCGCTATATTTCTGACCGGGGATAGGTCCTATCACAAGAATATTTTTTTTATTAGGGCGATAGCTCTGAAAAGACAAATTGCCTATCTTTTCTTTAATCTCGGGAGAAATACGATCGGGGGGAGCTAATTCAAACCCCTCCGGTAAAATAAGAACAGCCCCTACATTCAAACCCCCCTTTTTACCATTAGCAAGAACTTGTTTTAGTTGCTTATCATAAGGAATTCGAACAACTGCTTCAAATACAGTATCAGGAAGTACCGCCTGTGGAACCTCAATATCTACGGGCTTATTAGCTAAATGGCAATTGGCACATACAATACGCCCAGTTGCTTCGCGTGGATTTTCATAACCCTGTTGTGCGAAAATGGGATATGCATTTGAAACGGCTGTTCGAGTTATGATATATATCATGAGAGATACAGAAATAGATCGAGTAATCTGTTCCTTTATCCAAGAAAAAATATTTCTAGTTTCCATGGTCCAATCGTTGATCCCAAAATTTCTACAATAGACAATAAGTGGGGGTAAGTCGCTAGTATAGTTCCCTATCCACGATTCTGCTAGTTACTGGAATAAATTTAATGGAATAATATTTTACTGGAATATAATTATAGGATGAATCCCCCCAGATGGGTCGAAATAGAAAGCGTAAGTAGGACTTGCAATGTTTTGTTTATGTACAACTACAAAGTAACAAAGGTTCTGGTTGGATTAGATTAATATCAGTGGATCTTTTATCAGTCATTCATTGAATGATAAATAACTACAAGTGAAGGAGATACACGATTTAAATAACGGAAAATCCAATATTTAAAAATTGTATCAAGAATGACTGGAAAAGTGGAAACAAGACCAGATATAATTTGATCATTATGAACAAATCCAAGATCTTTGTAGACAGAGCCAACCATTAGTTCCCAACCATGAGGTGAATGGAATCCGATACATAAATCCGTTAATAAAAGAATAGAAAAAGCTTTGACTGTGTCGCTTAAGTTATATAGGAATTTCTGGGTCCAAGAGTTAAGAATAACAAGTTCTTCATTACCCAAAATAGAAAAACCGCTTAGAATAACAAAACAGATTATATTTGTCGAGAAGTGCAAAATCGTATGGATCCGACCCTCGTTGTATATGTTGATTAATTGGATCGCTTCTTTTTGGATTCCTATACGAAATTTTTGTAGATGTGTCTCCGAGTATTCCTCGATCAGTTCGTCTAAGACGAGGAGTTCCTCTAATTCTATGAATTTTTCTAGAATACTCTTTTCTTGAATATCATTCAAAAAAATTTCGGATTGCCCAGCATTCCACCAATTATTAACCCAAGATTCCAGACTTTTATTAAATGAGAGAGAAAGCCACCAGGGCAAAAATACTATAGATACAAGATATAAAAGGGGAGTGAATGCTTTCTTTTTTGTCATTTTTCATCTGTGAATTGTTAATCAACCCACCTCATTCATTGACTCTATGCAATCTAATATTTCTTTCACACATGAGTTCTATACAAAGTATGAAACCTATAAATCTATTTTCTTTGCGGTTATTGAATCTAGAAAGAATAGAGAAATCAATTAAGAATCCACTTTGAATGAAGAAATATTAAAAAATAACCTTTTCCGATATCTCAATCGGTCAACAAAACAAGTGTCTTTTTTCGATGAATGATCGAAAGAACCACTTTAATTTAAGTAATGAATATTAGTTATATTTTGAGACGAAAGAACTCCTTTTCTCTCAAATATCAAAATATCCAATATTTCAAAACAAATTTACTGATTACCCACAGTCAGGAATAAAATAATTGAGGGAAGGAGATTGCGATAATCAAAGTGGCAAAACAAGACAGAAATTGGCTAGTTATCATTATTAAGAAATCTAATTGTTATTTTTGTATTGGTCATTAAGGAACGCAAAAGAAAGGAGAAAAAAACGTCGATTGACAAAAAAAATAATTTATAAAATAGGATTTATCTGTATCAATTCCAACTAAATATTGAACTTAAAAAGAAGATTAATTTCTTTATACCGAAATAGTTTGATATATGAGATGAATATATTATTTCGATTTGTTACTTGTTTAATTTTAGTTGCGTGGATTTGCACACGTATAAAAAATCACGAAAAAAGTTTCCGTTTATGGTTGTTCCGCCCGCTTTAGCTTGAATAAACCTTCTGATGAAACTTCACACTTAAGTTATGTTATAGGAAAAAAGATTCTTGCATTTTTCCCTCTTGTTGAAAAAGCATCTATTTTTCCACGCATTTCTCAAAATACTTCAATTGGTACACGCAAGAAATAGGCCAATTCAGCAGCCTTTTGTTCAATTTCTCGTGGAGTCAAATTTTCATCAGTACGAGTTAAGGGAATGGTCCCCTGGCCTCGAATTTCCATATAAAGGACACGGCGTGCAAAAATACCCTCTTTAACTTCTATTCGAATGGACTGAATATCTTTTATAAGGAATCGGAGGAATATGCGACGATTTTTTCCAGGAAATCCCCAACGAAAAATACACACTATGCCTTCCTTTCTATCGAATCGATCATAACCATTGCCTACATTCCAGGAAATTGTGCACCACAAATAGGAGCTAATAAAGAGACCCGCGATTCCGTAGAAAGACATGACGATCCCTTGTGGAAAAAAAACGATTTGCTGAGAGGGAAAAAAAGATATCAAATTTCTACCAAGATAACTGGAAATTCCAACCAATAAGAATCCTACTGAACCTACAAAAAGGATAAAGGCCCAGCAGAAATTACTTATTTTTCGAGACCCCTTTATAAGTTCTATCCATATATGCTCTGATCGCAAACTCATACTTGATCCGATTACATTTTATTAGAATTGAGAGAATACTTCAAATTTTTTTGACTTTACTTTTTTTGTTTCCGAAGTAACTCTCATCAACTAGCACTAGTTTGGTGTGAACCTTTAGGAGTAATTCATCAAATTGATTAAATCTAAAATAATAGCATACTCTTCATATGATCCCACTATACATACAGATCCGCTGACTTTCTATTTCAGCCATCCGGCGATCCTGATCGATTTGAAAACAGCTAGAATTCATTTAACCATATATCGTGTTTATGCAGACATAAGAGTTCTTTCCTTTATGTTCGGCAAAAATTACATGTTATACCATATTCTACTAAATATATGTCCGTGCTATGATACAAATCTAAGTTTTGAAAAAATGGAAGATATTGGGTCCCATCGGATCTAAATAATCTTATTTTTTTGAACATGAAGAGATAAAGAAGCCATTGCAATTGCCGGAAATACTAGGCCTACTAAAGGCACAAAAATAGAGGGAAAGCTGAAAGTTATCATAGAATGGGTGCCTCGATTTATTATTTGTACCTGTTATTATTATTTATAAATAAAGATATCTTATAATAATTATAATTAAGAATTTGAATTCTTATGAATTTTAAATTTATATTTTATTATTAATTTAATTCAATTTTAAATTCTTAGTATAGATCTAAGTATCTATATATCTATATTTAAATATCTAAGTAAATATATAGAATAAACGCAAGGAGTGTAGAAGGAAATAAATGAATTTATTTATCTTTTTTATCTTTTGAATCTTTTCTTTTTATTCTACACGAAAGGGAAAGGTATGTATGATAATCTATTTTTTCTTTTCTTTGTCTTTTATTCTTGTATTCTAATTTAATAAAGAAAGAGTTTGTTACACATTATCGAAAGATTCGTTAGAATCCGAACCAACAGAGATTTTTAGCTAAATAAGGGATTTTGGGGAAATGGAAATAGAGAAAAATAAAAAAAAAACTCTTTTTTTTTTATATTTTATTTGATACGTAAGATAAAAATAAGAAATTCGTTTTGTTTGCCTAATTTGAAGAATTCAATCTTTTTTTTTAATATAGACTTCTTAATAAAAAATTGAATTAAGAATCAGAAATAAGAAATATAAGTAAAAAAGAATTATCCACAACTTTTGATTCGTTCTACAATTTGAACTTATGCCACCAAAGAAAATTCCATTCTTATTTCCTTTGATTCCGATAAACTAACTACTCGTTTATTACAAATAACAAATAATTGTTGAACTTAGTGCTCTGTTTCATTTTGATTCAAAGGAACGAAAGCATGGAACTTAAATAACTCACTAAGAACGCTTTTTAAAAGATTACGCGGTACGATTAGGTCGAATAAACCCTTCTGGAATAAATATTCAGCGGCTTGTGAACCTTCAGGTACTGTTGTATTCAATGTTTGTTCAATTACTCTTTTACCTGCAAATGCAATATAGGCGTTGGGTTCGGCAATAATGATATCACCCAACATACCAAAACTGGCTGTTACTCCGCCAGTAGTAGGAGATGTAAGGATTGATACATAAAATAACTTTTTATTTGATTGATAATCATATAAAGCAGACGAAATTTTAGCCATTTGCATCAAGCTCAAACTTCCTTCTTGCATGCGTGCCCCCCCCGAAGCACATACTATAATAAGAGGTAGCAACTCTTTGGTAGCGTATTCAATCAAACGGGTTATTTTTTCCCCAACTACGGATCCCATACTACCCCCCATAAACTGAAAATCCATAACCCCAACTGCTACGGGAATGCCGTTTAGTTGGCCTATGCCTGTTTGAACAGCCTCGGTTAATCCTGTCTTCTTTTGATAAGAATCAATACGATCTTTATAAGGTTCCTCCTCCGAATGAAATTCAATGGGATCCAGAGAGGCCATGTCTTCATCCATAGGATCCCAAGTACCAGGATCGATCGAAAGTTCGATTCTTTCTGAACTATTCATTTTCAAATGATATCCACATTGTTCACAAATATTCATTTTTGATTTCAAAAATTTCTTATAATTTAATCCATAACAATTTTCACATTGAACCCACAAATGCCTATATTTTTGAGTTACATCGAGATCATTAGAACTTTCTATTATAGTAAAATCGCTCCCCTTCACGTGGGTTTGTATATCCGAAACCTCTCCTTCACTATTATTTCTACTTTCACCACAAATGGAACTATAGATGTAACTATCGCTGTAATTATCCCCTCCACTTACAATGGAAGTCTCAATCCAAATTTGAGACTGAAGATAACTGTCAATGCAACTATTAATATGATTATTCCAACTATATTGAGTATCATACATGTAATGATTATAGTAGGTATCTTCGCTCGTAGATCCATTATTCAGATAACTAGAATTCCAATAAGTATTTTTTAGTTCACTCCGAAACGAATGATTGTTGTCAATCTCAAAAATTTGATTTTCAATATCAAAATATATGGAAAAATTGTCTCCATTACTATCCTTAACTAAAAAAGTGTCATCGGAGATGAAATTCCGAATGTCTTTAACGACGAATAAATGATCAACCTTACTGTAACTAGAATCGTCACGACCCCCCCAACTCTGAATGTTTTTAGTCCTATCTTTTATATCCGGCTCATCACCTTCACTGGCATTTTCAATAGAACCAAGACTTTCCGTTGATTTATTTAGCCCACACCGGCATTCGAACTCCTTCTTAAACAACATCGAATTAAACCACCATCTTTCCATAGACTTTTCTTGCCTCCTATTTGCATGAAAATACAATAGATGAATAGTCATTCGATCCAAAATTTATTTATTTGAATTTGAATATTTTATTTCCTATATAAAATAAACATAGAAATCCAATCACTAGAATTTTTTTAGTAACTAATAAAATAGGGAGTTTGAGTATTGAAAAAAATTCTTTTTTGTTTTGTGGAAATTCGGGGGTAATATGTCACTATACATGAATATAATATGATGGAACCCCTCTTCATTATAAATATCATGATAAAGAGTACTTTCTCCTATGTCGTGTCAAATTCGCATCGAAAAAAAAAAAGAAATATTTGTTTTATTCTATAAATCTTTTTTCGTAAAATCTCGTCTAATAACTAACTAATAATAAGTAATAACTTAAGGTTTTATTCCATCAATAGGGAACGAAAAGGACAATATACGGGATAGGTATAAAACGGCTTGCTTGGGGGAAACTGCAGAATATAAAAGAATATGCCAACCCTAAGGATCCAGAGGATTAATTGTGGATCCAAGACAGTAATAGAAAGATTTTATTCTTAGATTTTTTATTTAATTTAAAATATTCTTTATCTAGATAAGTATGTATTTATCTAAAATAGATGCAATAGAATCTTTGTATTCGGCTCAATCTTTTAATAAAAAGATTGGGCCGAGTTTAATTGAAATTTAACTAAGAGAAAAAAGGTAATTACAAATCTTTCTCTTTATCCAATTTATCCATCGCTTCAAAATTAAATCGGATTTCCTTCCATACCTCACAAGCAGCAGCTAGTTCAGGACTCCATTTACTAGCCTCGCGGATAATTTCATTACCCTCAGCAGCAAGATCACGCCCTTCATTACGAGCTTTTACACATGCTTCTAGAGCTACTCGATTCGCTACAGCACCTGGCGCATTACCCCAAGGGTGTCCTAAAGTTCCTCCACCGAACTGTAGTACAGAATCATCCCCAAAAATCTCGGTCAGAGCAGGCATATGCCAAACGTGAATACCTCCTGAAGCCACGGGTATAACACCTGGTAGAGAGACCCAATCTTGAGTGAAATAAATACCGCGGCTTCGGTCTTTTTCAATAAAATCATCACGCAGTAAATCAACAAAGCCCAAAGTGATATCTCTTTCCCCTTCAAGTTTACCTACTACGGTACCGGCGTGAATATGATCTCCACCAGACATACGTAACCCTTTAGCTAGTACGCGGAAGTGCATACCATGATTCTTCTGTCTATCAATAACCGCATGCATTGCGCGGTGGATGTGAAGAAGTAGGCCATTATCTCGGCAATAATGGGCCAAGCTAGTATTTGCAGTGAATCCCCCTGTTAAGTAATCATGCATTACGATAGGAACTCCTAATTCTCTAGCAAATACAGCTCTTTTGATCATTTCTTCGCATGTACCTGCAGTAGCATTCAAGTAATGCCCTTTGATTTCACCTGTTTCAGCCTGTGCTTTAAAAAGCGCTTCAGCACAAAAGCAGAAACGATCTCTCCAACGCATAAATGGTTGGGAGTTCACGTTTTCATCGTCTTTGGTAAAATCAAGTCCCCCGCGAAGACATTCATAAACAGCTCTACCATAGTTTTTAGCAGATAAACCTAATTTAGGTTTAATAGTACATCCCAACAGGGGACGACCATACTTGTTCAATTTATCTCTCTCAACTTGGATGCCATGAGGCGGCCCTTGGAAGGTTTTAATATAAGCAGGTGGGACTCGCAAATCTTCCAGACGTAGAGCGCGCAGGGCTTTGAACCCAAATACATTACCTACAATGGAAGTAAACATGTTAGTAACAGAACCTTCTTCAAAAAGGTCTAAGGGGTAAGCTACATAAGCAATATATTGATTTTCTTCCCCAGGAACTGGCTCGATGTGATAGCATCGCCCTTTGTAACGATCAAGGCTGGTAAGCCCATCGGTCCACACAGCTGTCCATGTACCAGTAGAAGATTCGGCAGCTACCGCGGCCCCCGCTTCTTCAGGTGGAACTCCCGGTTGAGGAGTTACTCGGAATGCTGCCAAGATATCAGTATCTTTGGTTTCGTATTCAGGAGTATAATAAGTCAATTTGTACTCTTTAACACCAGCTTTGAATCCAACACTTGCTTTAGTCTCTGTTTGTGGTGACATAAATCCCTCCCTACAACTCATGAATTAAGAATTCTCACAACAACAAGGTCTACTCGACACGAATTAGCTGTTAATTAAACTTTTCACAAGAATCTTTCACAAAATTCCCAACTAATACTAATATTATCAACTAATCAGAATGTTTGATTATTATTATTAGACCAGATCATGCGATTTGCCAAATACATCATTATTGTATACTCTTTCATATATATAGCGCAACCCAAATTTTCTTTTTTACCCCTTTGGAATCAAAATAACTAACTAATAAGAAATTCCCCTTGACAGCGCTATATGTTGTATATGTAAATCCTAGATGTGAAAATGTACAGAATTCGTGATATAGGTATAAAAAAAGAAAAAATGAAAAAAAGGCTCGGCGTAAATCGATATGCTGAAATAAAAAAGAAATCCAATGGGATAGAAATAATGAATCGTAATGTAAATAGAGTTCAGGTTCGAATTCCATAGAATGGATAATAGAGATGGGATTATCTATAATGATAGATAAATGAAAGACCTTTCTCAACATTCCTATTTCATCCACTTGAAATTCTAAAAATAAAATAGATTGATTGAATTTGAAAATTCATTGTTTGAATAAAGAAACAATTGAGTTGGATTCGATTGAATGGTACCAACCAAATGGAGAGCTTATTCCCAATTCTTATTGAATAAATTGAATTAACTGATCGACGCGCTATTGGATATTTGTTTTGAATTCGATAATTTAATTTTCGCAAAAAATTTGACATATTTTCTTTATTAATTATTATGAAAATAAATCCTACTACTTCTGGTTCTGGGGTTTCCACGCTTGAAAAAAAAAACATGGGGCGTATTGTCCAAATCATCGGCCCGGTACTAGATGTAGCCTTTCCGGCGGGCAAGATGCCGAATATTTATAACGCCCTAGTAGTTAAAGGTCGAGATACTGTTGGTCAACCAATTAATGTAACTTGTGAGGTACAGCAATTATTAGGAAATAATCGCGTTAGAGCTGTAGCTATGAGTTCTACAGATGGTCTAACGAGAGGAATGGAAGTGATTGACACGGGAGCTCCTCTAAGTGTTCCGGTAGGAGGAGCAACTCTGGGACGAATTTTCAACGTGCTTGGAGAACCCGTTGATAATTTAGGTGCTGTAGATACTCGTACAACATCTCCTATTCATAGATCTGCGCCCGCCTTTATACAGTTAGATACAAAATTATCTATTTTTGAAACGGGAATTAAAGTAGTAGATCTTTTAGCCCCTTATCGCCGTGGAGGAAAAATAGGACTCTTCGGGGGAGCTGGAGTAGGTAAAACAGTACTCATTATGGAATTGATTAACAATATTGCCAAAGCCCATGGAGGCGTATCCGTATTTGGCGGAGTGGGTGAACGTACTCGTGAAGGAAATGATCTTTACATGGAAATGAAAGAATCTGGAGTGATTAATAAAGAAAATATTGCAGAATCAAAAGTGGCTCTAGTTTACGGTCAGATGAATGAACCGCCGGGAGCTCGTATGAGAGTTGGTTTGACTGCCCTAACTATGGCGGAATATTTCCGAGATGTTAATGAACAAGACGTACTTCTATTTATCGACAATATTTTCCGTTTCGTCCAAGCAGGATCCGAAGTCTCGGCCTTATTGGGTAGAATGCCTTCCGCTGTGGGCTACCAACCCACCCTGAGTACCGAAATGGGTTCTTTACAAGAAAGAATTACGTCTACCAAAGAGGGATCTATAACTTCTATTCAAGCAGTTTATGTACCTGCAGACGATTTAACCGACCCCGCCCCTGCTACGACATTTGCACATTTAGATGCCACTACCGTACTATCAAGAGGATTAGCTGCCAAAGGTATCTATCCCGCAGTAGATCCTTTAGATTCAACATCAACCATGCTTCAACCTCGGATTGTTGGTGAGGAACATTATGAAACTGCGCAAAGGGTTAAGCAAACTTTACAACGTTATAAAGAACTCCAGGATATTATAGCTATCCTCGGGTTAGATGAATTATCCGAAGAGGATCGTTTAACCGTAGCACGAGCACGAAAAATTGAGCGTTTCTTATCACAACCCTTTTTCGTAGCAGAAGTATTTACCGGTTCTCCAGGAAAATATGTTGGTCTAGCAGAAACAATTAGAGGATTTCAATTGATCCTTTCCGGAGAATTAGATAGTCTTCCTGAACAGGCTTTTTATTTGGTAGGTAATATCGATGAAGCTACCGCGAAGGCTATGAACTTAGAAATGGAGAACAATTTGAAGAAATGACCTTAAATCTTTGTGTACTAACGCCTAATCGAATTGTTTGGGATTCAGAAGTAAAAGAAATAATTTTACCTACTAATAGTGGTCAAATTGGCGTATTACCCAACCATGCCCCTATTGCCACAGCTGTAGATATAGGTATTTTGAGAATACGCCTTAATGGCCAATGGTTAACGATGGCTCTTATGGGTGGTTTTGCTAAAATAGGCAGTAATGAAATCATTGTTTTAGTAAATGATGCGGAGAAGGGTAGTGACATTGATCCACAAGAAGCTCAGCAAACTCTTGAAATAGCGGAAGCTAATTTGAAAAAAGCTGAAGGAAAGAGACAAACAATTGAAGCAAATCTAGCTCTCCGGCGAGCTAGGACACGGGTAGAGGCTATCAATGCGGTTTGATTTCATAACTAGTTGATACGTTCGAATAATCCTGTTTCAAATTCTATTTGAATTTGATTCTGTCGAGTGAATAGAATCAAATAAATCAAGCAAAATCCAATTTTGATGTAAATAAAAGAAATTCAAAAATGAAATAGCAAAGATACAAAATCAATAAAATATAAAAAGGGGGTGGGTCAAAAAACTTATTAGATACCATAAACTCCGGTATCTAATAAGTTCTACCTACTATTGGATTTGAACCAATGACTCTCGCCGTATGAAAGCAATACTCTAACCACTGAGTTAAGTAGGTCATTTATCATTCCAAAGATAACAAAATGGAACCCATCCCGTCGATGTGGATTATAAATATCATATTGCTTATAAGCAATACCGCTCAAAGAGATCAAAGATTTATGATATTTTTTCAGGGAATATTCATTCATCTTGACAAGAAATTATCTACATGATAAAATATGTATCACAAGCAATAAGGGCTATAGCTCAGTTGGTAGAGCACCTCGTTTACACGCGCGCCAATGTTTTTCAAGGTAATCCATCATACAATCAAATCAAAAAATTGTGATCTTAATTGAGAAATCGATGTCTTACCCCATAACTTTGAGGGAACAATAGCCTGACAAAGGGTTCGGTTCGATTGGGGTGCCCATTTAGGTTAGGCACAAAATGGACACTCTCATGGATTTGAGGTATTGATAAGGTGAATATCCAATATTTTCAATGCTAGGCTTAATGAGTATAAGGACCTCAAAAAATCTCTTTTCGTCCTATGAACTTTAAGGTGTATGAAGTTTCATATTTCATTTTGTAAGCGGAACGGTAGAGACTTCATTTGACTTAGGTTGATCTAGGCCATAGGCAGACCTACGTCACGACAACCCTACCCTTGAAAGACTTTGGTAGTGCTCTTGGATTAGAATTCAAAATAATAAATCGGAGCACATGGAGCCATCTTCTTATCTTATTTTTTTGTCAAAAGAAAAAAATATGGCAGACTAGCTGATATTTCGATCAGTTAATGAAAGAGCCCAATGCAAAAAAAATGCATGTTGGGTCTTTGAAACAGTTCAGATCATTTTGATAATAAAAAGTTTGATCTGTTTTACCGAGAAGGTCTACGGTTCGAGTCCGTATAGCCCTATAATTTAATTATAATAAAAAATGAAAATGAATTAATGAAAATTCAAAATACAAAAAACGAAATTGTATAATTTTTATTTCTTCATTATTCTTTGTTGCTTGGAACTAACGAGTCGGTTCATCGAAATAAAATTATTCCTATAAGCTCACTCACAGGAATTCTTTAAAACAGAAAACTAAAAGCAAAAGGCGGATATTTCAATAGATCTAATTGATATTTTTCCAATCGCAGATAAACAAAGCAACCTTTCGTCATTAATCTTCGGAGGTGAAGGTGAATTTCATATGAATTTTCCTGTTTGTTCACAAGAAGTTCGTGATATTCCCTTTCTTTGGTATACCTAATCTTGTTGGTGAATTTTTGAAGTAAAAATCGTGACACGAGCCGCCCTGTTAAAAACCCCAATGGATCTAGGAATGACCTCCTGCGCTTGTGTACAAATTAAAGCTTGTTGAAAGATGAATACCTTTGGTAAGTTTCGTTATTAAATAGGCCTTCGTATACCTTACCTAGGCCTAGCGAAGCACAGGGGGCAGTCTTCTTTTTCTGTAATCAATCAAGAGAAACCGAAACCCCTCCGCCGGGATGGGATCCTAATATAAAGGAATATACCAAGACCAAGATATTCTAAATCCTGAGATGAAAATTCCCATCCAGTATCTTACTTGTTCTATTCTAAATGACTAAGAAAAAAAAAAAAGACCTCCTGATTCTATTCATAAAAAATGGAAAGCTATCAAGAATTTTATTTATTTTATTCAATTTCAAAAAATATAAAAAAAAATGGATAATCTATATAATAGATATTAATTAAGTAAGTAGAAGTTAATAAAAAAAAAAGAAATTCAAAATTCTAAACAAAAACGAGAATTCTTTTTTATTTTGTTTATTTTGAATTCCCCTTCTTTAGAGAGAATCCTGTGAAAATAAGAAAATTTGTATAAAAGTAAGATGGAGATATAGAGTTATACTAAGTAAAAAAATCGAAATTAAGTATAATGGAAATAGGATTCTACCTTGAAATGAGATATGTTTCGCAGTAAACAAAGGAAACTCGTCAATTCAATAAAAATGAATTCTTGTTTTGATTGAATTGAGTAAAATAAAAAGTTATGGTATGGATGACTTGACAATTCCAATTCTAATCGAGCAATCCGGTATATTTTCCACGTTCATAGGAGTGTGTCTATGTTTCTTCTTTACGAATATGATATTTTTTGGACATTTCTAATAATATCAAGTCTTATTCCTATTTTGGCATTTTTTATTTCCGGAATTTTAGCCCCGATTAGCAAAGGGCCGGAGAAACTCTCTAGTTATGAATCGGGTATAGAACCAATAGGCGACGCTTGGTTACAATTTCGAATCCGTTATTATATGTTTGCTCTAGTTTTTGTTGTTTTTGATGTTGAAACAGTTTTTCTTTATCCATGGGCAATGAGTTTCGATATTTTGGGTGTATCTGTATTTATAGAAGCTTTAATTTTTGTACTTATCTTAATAGTTGGTTTAGTTTATGCATGGCGAAAGGGGGCATTGGAATGGTCTTAGCTCCTGAATATTCAGACAATAAAAAGAAAAAAGGAAAAAAATCAAAATAAAATTGAGACTGTTATGAATTCCATTGAGCTTCCTTTACTTGATCGAACAGCCCAAAATTCAGTTATTTCAACTACATTAAATGATTTTTCAAATTGGTCAAGACTCTCTAGTTTATGGCCACTTCTCTATGGTACCAGTTGTTGTTTCATTGAATTTGCTTCACTAATAGGGTCACGATTCGACTTTGATCGTTATGGACTAGTACCAAGATCAAGTCCTAGACAGGCAGATCTAATTTTAACAGCCGGAACGGTAACAATGAAAATGGCCCCTTCTTTAGTGAGATTATATGAACAAATGCCTGAACCAAAATATGTTATTGCTATGGGAGCATGTACAATTACAGGAGGGATGTTCAGTACCGATTCTTATAGTACTGTTCGGGGGGTTGATAAGCTAATTCCTGTAGATGTCTATTTGCCAGGCTGTCCCCCTAAACCGGAAGCAGTTATAGATGCTATAACAAAACTTCGTAAGAAAATATCTCGAGAAATCTATGAAGATAGAATTAGGCCTCAACGTCAACGGTCGAATCGGTGTTTTACTACAAATCACAAGTTTCATATTAGCCGCAGTATGAATACTGGAAATTATGATCAAGGATTCCTTTATCAACCGGCATCTACTTTTACTTCAGAAATACCTACTGAAACATTTTTCAAATACAAAAGTTCAGTCTCTTCCCATGAATTGGTGAATTAGACAGTATTTCTTTGTACAAAATAAAAAAAATCTTCATAAATTTCATCGTAAAGGTGAAATACTTAATACAAATAAAAATATGGGAGAAATAAAAAAGATGCAGGGTCGTTTGTCTGCTTGGCTAGTCAAGCATGGGCTAATTCATAGATCTTTGGGCTTTGATTACCAAGGAATAGAGACTTTACAAATAAAGTCCGAGGATTGGCATTCTATTGCTGTTATTTTATATGTATATGGTTACAATTATCTCCGTTCCCAATGCGCCTATGATGTAGCACCCGGCGGGCTGTTAGCTAGTGTATATCATCTTACGAGAATAGAGTATGGTGTAGATCAACCAGAAGAGGTATGCATAAAAGTATTTGTCTCAAGGAGGAATCCTAGGATTCCGTCTGTCTTCTGGGTTTGGAAAAGTGTGGATTTTCAAGAACGAGAATCTTATGATATGTTGGGAATATCTTATGATAATCATCCACGCTTGAAACGTATCTTAATGCCTGAAAGTTGGATAGGATGGCCCTTACGCAAGGATTATGTTGCTCCCAATTTTTATGAAATACAAGATGCTCATTGAAGGATAAGAAACTAATTTCGTCTTATACAATTTCACATATTCAAGGATTATACGTTCTGTTCTAGATTAACCAGAATAATGGAAGTCTCCTTTGTATTTGGGAATTCTATAATAGGCTAACAAAAAAAAAAGACAATGAGAGATTCGTTGGTATTCTTACATCCCATTTATTTGGTTTGTAAGATGCTTATCTCAGATGAGACGAACAAAGAGGATGAACTTCTACATCATGAATTTTGACTTTCTACTACGCACATTATTTAAAGGGTTTTAGAAAGTTATGTAAGTAGGAATGACGAAATCAAATATGAACGAAAATACAAAGAAATTAAAGGATATTGGATTCTATTTATTTGTATCTCTTGTGTATTTCAATTCCTCTAGATTTGATCTCAACCAATTAAATTAACCCCTTGAATATGTCTTTTGAATATATATGAAGTATTAACATTCTTTTTGAACAAAAGAAGAGCAGAAATAAAAAAGATGAAGAAATAGAATCTAATTCTTTTAGATACCTTATCTAAAAAGTTCTACCCATCTATAAAATAGATGGGGTATATCTCGCTGAAGTGGAAAACAATATGTATTTATTATGATCTAAACTATAAATATGAATGTCGATTCATATCAATTAATTTATACAAGAGAGACTTATACAAATTAATCATGTGCCAGGAACCAGATTTGAACTGGTGACACGAGGATTTTCAGTCCTCTGCTCTACCATCTGAGCTATCCCGACCAGTCCCAATGTAGCATCCTCATTTTATGAGAAAAGGGGGGCTATGTCAATTAAAAGAAGGAAAGGGGATTACAAAATTTTATCTAGGTACTAGAATTTCTTGTATCTTAAAAAAGAGTACTTTGTAAGTTTCAGTATGAATAGTTATATCGATTGTAAACCATTCAAATGGGTATTTCTTGCTCAAAGATGTTCATTTATATGTATATCATAAATAACACAAGATTTGTGATAAGAAAAGGGCTTTTCCGTCCAGATCGATTTCTAAGAGAATAGAGTAAATGAATAAGGTTTTTTGAACCGCTAACGAAAGGGGGATAGGATAAATAGTTGGGGGATCAAATATGTTTTTTGGGGATAGAGGGACTTGAACCCTCACGATTTTTAAAGTCGACGGATTTTCCTCTTACTATAAATTTCATTGTTGCCGACATTGACATGTAGAACGGGACTCTATCTTTATTCTCGTCCGATTAATCAATTCTTGAAAAGATCTATCAGACTATGGAGTGAATCATTTGATCAATGAATATTCGATTCTTTCTTCAATGTGGAATCTATTCACACCAATTCTTCCATTTTTATATAAAAAATACAGATTCAGTTGAGTCGTCATTAATCATTTAATATAGTATTCAATACGTATATACGTTTATCCTTCACTTTATCCTTTCGGAATTTTAGATGGAAAGATTTCTCTACTAACGCAGCCAACTCCATTTGTTAGAACAGCTTCCGTTGAGTCTCTGCACCTATCCTTTTTTCACTTTCTGAACCTTTCCTTTGGTTTCGGAAAACGGGATTTGGCTCAGGATTGCCCCTTTTTATTAATTCCAGGGTTTCTCTGAATTTGAAAGTTATCACTTAGTGGGTTTCCATACCAAGGCTCAATTCAATTAAGTCCGTAGCGTCTACCGATTTCGCCATATCCCCTTCCTTTTGGTTTGAGATTCAAATTTCATTGTGATGTCGTTGCTTTTTTTCTTTCCTTTATTTTATACTGAAATCGTTGAATGCATTAGATACCGATTCCTATCTTAAAAAACTGTTTTCTTTTTTTTGATTTCTTATCTATCTTCTATAGGAAACCCCCATTTGGTTCAATCCAATATGATTTTATCATTTCTGTATCCCCAATTCAATATAGATGAATATATATCTTAGATATATATATCTCCCTGTCAGCTTTCCAATGCAATTTTGAATAGTTGAACGGTCGATTCTTTTTTTTTGTCGTCTTAATTTTCGCCTTTACGATTTATTTACTTTACATTACAACATTAATTACATCTTTATGAATGAAAACGGAGAATGTCTCATTAGTTAGAACTCCTAATTAGAATTAGAAATATATGATATAGAATCAAATAATATAAATATATATAGAAGTATAAAAAAAGAATTCCAAATGTCATTTGAATTCAAAAATGAAAAATTTAACTAATTTAACTATACTAAAACTATTTACTATCTAATAGTAGATGATAATTCGAATTTAATCGAGTGATAAAAAAATCGAAATTCTATATCGCTATATTAATCGTTGTGCTCTATAATATTCAATAATTTATTTGAAATTCTATTTTATTCTTTTCTAGATCCATATCGATTATGAATAGATAAGAAGTAATAGTTACTAACTAAGATTCTAATAGTTTATGGAATTCCTATCCATATAAAATGGATATTATATGAGCCCGCTTAGCTCAGAGGTTAGAGCATCGCATTTGTAATGCGATGGTCATCGGTTCGATTCCGATAGCCGGCTTTCCTATTTATTCAAATTTTTACGTAATTGATAATGTCTCAAAGAATATTAAATAAAAGGGTGTCGTCCCCCTTTTCCAAAAGCCATCAATTTATAATTTATTAAGTTATAAGAATAAGAACTTCCAACTATGTCAGGAAGGGGATATCCTTTTCTATAATAGAAAAATAAATAGAAAGGAGTGTGGATATTTATCCAATTCATCTCATTCTTTTTTATAGTACACAAGCATGCTATTTCAATAAACTTCGCTTCATTTAGTTCAGTTTTGTTTTAGTTTAGGTTTTCAAAAATTTAATAAATAAAATAGAAAAAAATGAAATTCATTCAAAATAAGAATAAGGAGTCTTTATGTCGCGTTACCGAGGACCTCGTTTCAAAAAAATACGCCGTCTGGGAGCTTTACCAGGACTAACTAATAAAAAGCCTAGAGCTGGAAATGATCTTAGAAACCAATTACGTTCGGGAAAAAAATCTCAATATCGTATTCGACTAGAAGAAAAACAAAAGTTGCGTTTTCATTATGGTCTTACAGAACGACAATTACTTAAATATGTTCGTATCGCCGGAAAAGCCAAGGGGTCAACAGGCCAAGTTTTACTACAATTACTTGAAATGCGTTTGGATAACATCCTTTTTCGATTGGGTATGGCTTCAACTATTCCTGCAGCTCGTCAATTAGTTAACCATAGACATATTTTAGTTAATGGTCGTATAGTAGATATACCAAGTTATCGCTGCAAACCCCGAGATATTATTACGGGGAAGGATGAACAAAAATCCCGAGCTCTGATTCAAAAATCTCTGGATTCATCCCCTCAAGAGGAATTGCCAAGTCATTTGACCCTTCACCCATTCCAATATAAAGGATTAGTCAATCAAATAATAGATAGTAAATGGGTCGGTTTGAAAATAAATGAATTGTTAGTCGTAGAATATTATTCTCGACAGACTTAAACCTAACTAAACTAAAAAAGGGTTTGGACATTTTTCTGCCCTTTCGTCAAAGTAAATTAACCTAAAGTTAAGTAAGAAAATTCGGGTTTGACCTGAATTTTCTCGCTTTTATTTATCATAAAGGAATATTTTCATTCCTTCTTTACTCTTGATAGTTACAGAACTTTCTTTTCTAGTATTTTATGTGTCACAACAATTAGGAATAGGGAATCTATATAAAAGAAAAGTCTAACAGTTGGAATAGTGTTATTCATTTCCCATTATTCTTAGTCAAATCGGTAAATTAAAACGGAAAGAGAGGGATTCGAACCCTCGGTAAACAAAAGCCTACATAGCAGTTCCAATGCTACGCCTTGAACCACTCGGCCATCTCTCCTATATAATGATTATGATCCCAAACCGATTGAATGACGAGTCATTTATATTAATAATAGATTATTGTATAGGTACGACTAATCTATAAAAATCGAAAATTTTTCATCATAGAACGATTAGTCGATCTTTTTTCTTCTTTGGATCATAATTCCATGAAATTGAAGAAATTGACATAGTTCTTTTCGTTGATATGTTATACTACTACAATTGTAGTACATTTGGATGAAATCTAATCGGGTTCAAATAGTTCTTATTGATTCCTGTCAAAAAAAGGAAGAATTGGAAGAAAGGAAAGGGTCCATATCTTTTTTTTAATAAATTTGTTTTTATGTTATTTCGTACTGTACAATTCTTTTCTTTAGTGGGATCATTTTCTCGCGAGAGGTAATGAGAAGAATTATAGAATGGATTGCTACCTATGCCTAGATCACAAATAAATGGAAATTTTATTGATAAGACCTTTTCAATTGTAGCCAATATCTTATTACGAATAATTCCGACAACTTCAGGAGAAAGAGAGGCATTTACCTATTACAGAGATGGTGCGATTTGATTCTTTTTTCTTTATTTTCATATTGATT